ACTGTTCTGTGGTTAATATCTAGTTTTATGGCAATGTGGTCTGAGAAGATACTTTGTATTATTTCAATGTTTTTTAATTTGCAGAGGCTTGCTTTGTGTCCTAATATGTGATAGATTCTGGAGAATGTACCATGTATACTTCAGAAGAAAGTGAATTGAGTTTTAGTTGGTTGCAGTACCCTGAATACATCCATAAGGTCAAACTGACTGATTGTATAGTATAGATCTTCAGCATCTTTTTTGAGTTTCTTTTAGGTTGACCTATCCTTTGGTGATAATGGTGTGTTGAAATCTCCTACCACTATTGTGGTACTGTTTATTTCTTTCTTCAATTCTATTAATTGTTGTTTTATTTATTTTGCAGGTCTACTATTTGGTGCATAAATATTGACCACGGTTATGTCTTCTTGGTCTATTGTGCCTTTAATCAGATACAACCCTGCTTGCTGAAATGGAGGTGGACCTGAAGTGCTTGCTGCAGAAGGTTGAGGACTGCAACCTTCAATATGGATTGAAGCTCAACATTAAGAAAACAAAGATCCTCTCCACTGGGCAGATTGGCAGCATCATGTTATATGATGAAGAGATTGCAATTTTTAACAGCTTTATTTGCTTAGCTCTACAATCAACACTCTTGGTACTGGCAGCCAGGAAAATAGAGATTAATTACGTTGGGAAAGTCTGCTGTCACAGAGACCTCTTCAAAGTACTGAAGAACAATGATGTCAGTCTGGAGACTAAGGTGTGCCTGATCCAGGCCATAGTCTTTGCAATTACTTGCTATGCATTGGAAAGCTGGACAATGACTAGAGATGATAGAAGGAGAATTGATGGCTTTGAGCTGTGGTGCTGGAGAAGAGTACTGATTTACCATGGACTGCTAAGAGAACAAACAAGTTAGTCCTAGAGAAGGTGAAGCTAGGTTGCTCCTTGGAGGCAAGATTCTGAAGCTTCATCTGGCATATTTTGGGCATGTTGCAAGGATGGACCAGTCCTTGGAGAGGGATGTCATGCTTGAGAGGATGGAGGGACAGCAAGAGAAGAAGACCCTCAATGAGATGGATTTATTCAGTGACTGGGGTAATGGAAGTAGATGTGTCAGAGACAATAAGACGGGTACAGCATAGAGCAAAGTTTAGAGATTTTATACATAGGACCACTATGAGTCATCGGTGACTCGGCACATAACAATAACTACAGTAGGGGAGCTCTGGTGGCCTAGTGGCAAGGAGCTGCAACTACAATCCTAGAGGCGCACAGTTCGAATCCACCAGATGCTCTGCCGGGGAAGGAGGAACAATCTCCTCCTGTACCAGTCAGATCTGATTTGACGGTACAGTCACACAAAAATAATAAAATAAAATAAAAACAAAACAAAACAATAACTACAGCAATATCCTTCTTTATCTTTGATGATGGTTTTCATTCTGAAGTCCTTTTTATCAGAGATTTGTATTGCCACTCTGGTTTGTTTTTTTTTTTTAGTTAGTCATTTTCTTGGGATATATTTTTCTAGCCTTTGGTTTTTGGTCTGTCTTTCTTTTCTTTTTTGAAATATGTCTCTTGTAAGCAACATACTGATGAGCTTTGTTATTTTAACCATTCTGCTACTCTCTTTCTCTTATTTGATGCATTTAGTCCATTCACATTAAGTGTGATTATTGTCAGGACAGGTTTTACCATTGCAATTTTGTTTTGATTCTTTTTCTGTTGTGTTAGGTTACTATGGTCCATCCACTTACCTTTGACATCTCCATGTGAATGGCTTTCACTTAACATTTCTTATAGTTTTGGCCTTGTTTTCACAAATTCCTGAAGTTCCTTCTTTTCTACAAAGGATCTAATTTCTCCTTCATATTGATGGAGATCTTTGCTGGGTACAGAATCCTTGGCTGGCATTTGTTTTCTTTCAACTTTTTGTATATGCTATCCCACTGTCTTTTAACTCATATGGTGGTTTCTGCTAAGAAATCAGAACTTAATAGAATTGTTTCCCTTTTGTCAATGACTCTTTAGTTTTCCCTTGCTGCTTTTAGAATTCTATCCTTAGCTTTTTATTTGAAGAATTTTTTTTTGTGAGGAAAATTTGTATTTTGAATTAGCCTGCTGGACTCAGTTTAGATGATCCCAATTTTGTTGGCAACATCCAAAGCATCATAATCAGGAGCAAGTTGAACATAGGCCTTCAGTCCCTTCTTCTGTCCACGAAACTCTGAGACCCTGAGATTTCCTTCCCTCTCCACCCTTAGCTCCTGCCCTTGCCTCTTCCCTTACAGCCATAGTGTTTTAAATAATTTACTATGCATCTGAGAGCTGGACAGTGAATAAAGATAACAGAAGAAGGATTGATGCCTTTGAACTGTAGTGTTCAAGGAAAGTACTGAATATCCCATAGACTGTCAAAGAATAAGCAGATATGTCTTAGGAAAGTGTAGCCAGAATGCTCCTTGGAGGCAAAGATGATAACACTTTGTCTCGTATATTTGGGTCATGTTATTAGGAGAGGCTAGTCCTTGGAAAGGGACATTATATTTAGAAAGGTGGAGGGTCAGTGAAAGAGAGGAAGACACCTAATGAGATGGATTGACCCAGTGACTCAAGCAATGGTTTCAAGTATGTCATAAATGATATGAATGGAACAGGATAGGACAGAGTTCAGATTTGTTTGTTAATGGGTTTGCTATAAGTCATGCTTGACTCAATGGCACCTAACAACAGCAATATTTCATATGTCAATAATATTTAGAGGTCTCTGGCACAGCTGGACACACACAGCCATTGCTTTTTGCAAAAATCAGATCCTATGAGAAACAAATGTCATCTCTATGGGAACTGATATCCCTTGGGCCTACTTGGACCTTATTATCCATGGCAGAGACTAATTGATCATCAGAGATCATAGGTCCTTGTAGACATTCCAGAGCCAAAAAAAGTGATTCTCAAGTTTTCTCATTTTGCTATTACTTATAGACTGTATTATGTCTTCCAAAATACGTATTATAAATCCTCAGCTCTACACTCTTGATTATATAGTTCCATCTGGAATTGGATTGTTATTCTAATGAATGAGGAAGGATTAGTGTAAAATATGTTTTGAGTCAATGTGTTTGGCATAGCTAAATTTCTGCTGAGTCCACTCTTTCTTACTAATAATGATCTTATAGGATGGAGTGAAACTGCTCCATCAGGTTTACATAACTGTTTATGGATGTAGACTGCCACAGCATTCTTTCTTTGAGAGGCTGGTTTATTTGAATTGCTGACCCTTCAGATAGTAGCCATCATACCAGTGGGCTCTTACTTTCAAGATAAAGAAGAGATCAAACAAGTAAAGAGATGAGAAATGTGGTAGATAGATAGAGAGATGCCAACACATGTGAAGATCTCTAAGGAACCAGGGAACAGAAGCTCTAAGAAATGAGAACCTTCTTCTAAGGCCAATAAAGAAAATTTCTCCAAGAGACCACTCTCTGAATTTGGACTTCTAATCTTCAAAACTGTAAGAAGGAAGCTCTAGTGACCTAGTGGTAAGAAGCCATGCTACAATTCCAAAAACACGAGGTTCGAAGCCAACAGCTGCTCTGCAGTAGACTGGACAATCTCCTCCCGAGTGATATACTGCCTCTGAAAACCCATTGCAAGGTCAGCTATGAGTCTGTTCTGACTTGATGACACACAACAACAACAACAAACAGTAAGAATATGAATTTTTGTTTGTTAATGTCATCCATTTGTATTATTTCTATATTAGGTATAACAGCACTAGATAACTAAGATACCATGTGACAGAAAAATCAGAGATGACTTCTTTGGGTGGAACAAAGACAAAGTCCTTCATCTGTTAGACCCAAAATTGCTGCTACTTGAAATTCATTGTCCTTTGCTTTGAGCCTGTTACTCTCCTGAATGGAGTTTTGTGAAAAGACAGTGGTGTATGTAGAATGCAACACTGGCAATTGTGTGTAGGAAGAATAGATATTTAAGAATATTTCAGTGAATACTAGAAATATCAGTTAATATATGGTGGGTTTTTTAAAAAAATAATTCCTCCATTTTAGTACTTATCTAATTTTGTATTTTAAAATCTTTGTGAGAGAGTTTTACTGCTATAATTAAAACCAGTGGAAGGGGAGCTCTGGTGCCCAGTGGCAAGAAGCTGCACTGCATTCCCAGAGGTGCGTGGTTCGAATCCACGAGGTCCTCTGCTGCCAAAGGAGGGATCTCCTTTGTACCAGTCAGATCCGATTTGATGGTACACACAAAAAAAATAATAAAATAAAAAAAAGTTGAAAAACACCCATAGGAAAGGAATCAAAAGACCTGGGACACTGTCAAGTGGTTCCTTGCAGAAAGGAAGGGGCAGATATATCCATCCCCGAACCAGGTGATGATGGTGAATGTATTTGTTTTTGTATGTGACAGTTATTCCATTTTTATCTTTATTATATGTATTATATATTTTTAAAAGATAACAAACTATAGGGTTTTCTTGATTGTAATCTTTACAGAAGCAGATCTTCAAGTCTTTCTTCTGCAAAGTGGCTGGGTGTGCTGTATCACCAGCCTTTGCTTTAGTGATGGGGCACTTAGCCATTTGTTCTTACAGGACTTTCTCTTGTTCTTTTTTCCTATCTCTTTACCAATACTTAATTTAGGAAGTTATTGCTTAATTTTTGCTTTCTGGATGGATCAAAACCTGAAGGGCTTGATACCACCAGAAAGTTTGGTGGTTCAAATTCTCCTGGAGGAGTTTAGGGAGACAGGTTTGGAGATCTGTTCCTCAAAGGTTGAAGCCGTTTGACCCTGTACATAAGGGGTTGCTCTAAGTAGAAATCAAATCTATTACAACAGACGGTACAACAGTAGAGTCCTGCAATTATAATTAAAGACATGTTTGAACACAAGTAATACATTTAAAACCTCCCTTGAGTCCATGGCATTGTTTATTTCCAGTTTTAAACTCTGAAGAGAATCAGTCTCTTTTACTTTTTCATGTAGACATGCTCATGCTCTGTCAACATCTCAGTCCTCCACACTCATGTGGGAATGTATTGTACTTTTCTATACAGCAGGACATTGACAGACAACAGAAAGAACTACTCAAGAGTTTCATCGGTCGAGACGTAAGGGAGGGAGACCCAAGGTTGAGCGTCCTCTCCACTTGTAGATCTCATAGCTTTTATTAGAGAAGTTCGACAAGTTTTCCTTTCTATTAAAAAACAAATAAGTTTTACAAACACATTGACTAGAGTCTCAAGGTTGACTGATGATCCTGATCTACCAAGCCATAAACAGAATTTTGAGCCAGCAAGAAAATATTTTCTTAGGGTAGTGTTGTTGATTGCCGTGGAGTCAAGCACAACTCATAGTGACTCAGTGAACAAATGACCTGAACCCCTTCTATAACTATCATCTTTTCTCTAAGTTCATAGAGTTTCCAGAGACATATTGTTTAGGAAGTGGCTGCCACTTCTGCTTCCAAACCTGTCTTAATCGGGGAGCTCCACAAAACACTGTTTATGGCATTTGACATCCCAATGGTACAGGGTTCAGCATCACAGCAACCCCAGGTTACCTCACTGCAGGAAATTGACAGAATAGTGCTGTACCAATGGAAGAATCTTCCTGCAAAATATAATAAAACTAGGCCTGAGGGCCCAAAGGACTTTTAAATACAAAAATAGTGTTGACTCTAAACAAGAGGCTTAAATAAAACAAACAATAAAAATACCCCAATATTCAACACTGATTCTTAACCAAAACAAGAGAACCCACCGTTTAGAGTCCAACTGCTTCACCCAGTCTCCAAAGTGGTGAGTAGGGTCTGATCTTAAATAGAACGGTTCTCCACAATATAAGCATATTTTTTTAGCAAAATATTTTAATTCTATGAGTTGACTATCTAGTTAGCATCTCAATAGATGTCTTGTCTTGATGGCAGTCATGGTAAGGGAGGTTTCCCGGGTCCTGTTTCTTGTGTGATGCTGTTCTTTTTGCCCCCCTCAAAAGTGGGTGGCCCTTCTCCAGGGTGTTGCTTTAAAATGTATTAATTTTAGAATGAATATTCTTTAAAAAACCCAGCAATCATTTGTCTATTTGCTATACTGAACACCGTGGAGTTGCTGTTTTGCTGAACACTGTTCCATGGTCATGTCAAATACCATAATGGTTACCCATTAAGTACAATATTTGGATGAGCTTCCAGATTGATCCATGTAGGGAATCAGGAGTGGCATCCACTTCCGAAATTAGATGCCTCTGGAAACTCTAAAAACTTTCTTATAAATGTACAGAAATTAAGTTAATTATAAAACAGAATTCAGGTCTTTTGTGCAAAGTTTACTCTGAGTCAAATTTGACTTGACAACACTTCACCACTGCTAAATGAGACTAGTGCTGTTATATCTGGAGGAACACTCTTCCACGCTGCACATCACTTTTTGTCAATGTGTGATGATAAGTGGTCTGGGTTTGCTATGATGCTGAACCTTGTGCCATGAGAATAGCAAATACCATAATGGTTTCCCATTGTGGACAGTGTTTGGTGGAGCTCTCGGTTGTAAAACAGGTTTGGATTCAGAAGTGGCATCCAATTCCTAAACCATATGCTTCTGGAAACTCTATGAACTTAGAGAAATAACAATAGCTATGGAAAGACATTAGGGCTTTTGTTCATAGAGTTGCTATGAGTCAACCTCGACTCAATGACAATCAACAATAACAACAACATGGTGACATAAATTTAACTTTAAGGAGACAAGCTGACATTAATTCACAAACTCATTTTTTTTATTGAACAAATAAGTATTAGGGATGTTTTCCTTATACTCTAACACTAAGCACTTAATAGAGTTCTTTCTTTATTCAGAGTTTTCTCTGATTATATTTTCTCAGTCCAAGCAGCTCCTGAATTAGTTAACTTAGCCTCTAAATCTCCCCCTTTTATTTACCTTTTTTATTCTTTTGTTTTTAGGCTTCATCTGTAGGTACTTTAAGGTGCTCTGATTCCCTGCGTTACTGAATTCAAATGCAGAAAAAACACATTATTCCAACTAAAGCCCATGTTCTACATCTGATTATATTTACTAAGGTGGCAGGATTTAGGAACTGAAAAGAAGTTTGCATATCTCCTAAGATTTTGTTTTTTAACTTTTGATGGTTGATCTGCATTTGAATTTGTAATTCTTGCTCCAAGAAGGTAACTTGATTCTAAAGATTTGTTTGAAAAACTCTTTGTAATTATTTTTAATTTCATCCCAAATACATTGAGAAGTTTTATAGAGAAGCGGAGTAACACAAATGTGTTTATTTTTGTCAAGCACACTTCAAATAGTTTCATCTTATTAAAGCCTGTTCCTCTTCAAGCCATATTGTAGCAGTTTTGAAAGCCTGTAAGAGGCTTATAATTTCTTTATAAATATTAATACTTGTCTTGGGTAATATTAGCCATTACATACATGTTCTACCACTTGAGCAATATGTGTAGATTATGTTAAAGACACTCTGTTAACAGTGGCAGTAGCTAGAATAACAGTTGTAGTTCCTGTTTTGGTTAACTTATTTCCTGTTTTATTCCCTCACAGGTTATTCAGAAACTGATGGGAAGAGAAAATCTCACACTGGGAGAACGTTTCATCTTGGTGGGCTTCTCAGATCAGCCATGGCTAGAGAAGATCTTGTTTGTGTTCATCTTGATATTCTACCTTCTAACACTAATGGGTAATGGGACCATCATTCTGGTCTCCAATCTGGACTCCCAGCTTCATACACCCATGTATTTCTTCCTCACTCACCTTTCCTTTATTGACCTCATCCATATGACCTGCATTAGTCCTCAGATGCTAGTCAACCTTGGGAGTACGGATAAATCCATAAGTTTTGCTGGATGTGTGGCCCAGCTTCTCATCACCTTGGGTCTAGGGGGCACTGAGTGCATACTTCTTGCCATGATGGCATATGATCGCTATGTTGCTGTCTGTCAGCCCTTGCATTATTTAACCCTCATGCCACCACAACTGTGCTGGGGATTGGCCAGCATATCCTGGTTTGTTGGTTTCAGTAACTCACTGATCCATACATCTATTACAATAACTCTTCCCAGATGTGGCCATCACTGGATAAACCATTTCTATTGTGAGACACCTCCAATAATACAACTGGCCTGTGTGGACACTTCAAATTACAGAAAGGAAATTACAGTGCTGAGCAGTATATTCCTCATCTTTCCTCTCTCATTGATCTTGGTCTCTTATGGGCGCATTGCACATAGTGTGTTGAGGGTGAAGGCACCTGGAGGGCGACAAAAGGCACTTGGGACATGTGGTTCCCATCTCATAGTGGTGACCATCTTTTACAGTACTGTCATCTATATGTATATGACCCCAAAGACAAAGCTCTCTCATGATGTGACCAAATTTGTGGCACTGCTATATAATTTTATTCCACCTGTGCTTAACCCCATAATTTACACTTTGAGAAACAGAGACTTTAAGAAAGCAATAAGGAAGATAATGATAAGAAAACAAGAAAGGAGAAAATAAGTTTTTCATAGAATTCATCCTTTTAATGAAGTAGAAAGGAGGTTCCAATGGGAACACTTCTGAAAAGCTGTATATTTTGAATGAAAAATTTAAGTAATAACTTTGTGACCTGTCAGAAGCTTTCTGTAATTTCTTATTGTCCTTAGAATGGAGACTGCCGAGGATGTTGTTGTTTGTTCATGTCACACAGTTAGTTCACTATGACTTGTAGCAACCATATGAGTAACGGATCTGAAATTTGGCCCATCCTGTGTCACTCTCACTATCTCAGCCATTGCCCAAATCCATTGTTACAGTCACTGTATCACTACATTTCATTCAAGGTCTTCCTTTCTTTCTTTCTCTGATACTTTTCCCAGTATAATATCTTTAATCAAGGACTAATTCCTCCTGAAAACATGCCCAAAGTGTAGGACATGAAGTTGTAGACACGAAGACATGTAGATACGAAGGACACTATCTTTGCCTCTAAGGAGTACCATGGATAAACTTCCTCTAAGACGAACTTGTTTGTTCTTTTAGAATTTCATGGAGTATTCAGTACTCTTCTTCAGCAACACAATTCAAAGACATAGATTCTTCTTCTGCCATCCTTTTTCATTTTCTAGCTTTCAGATGCCTGGGAACAATCGAAAGAAAATACCATGGCTCGGATCAAGTACACCTTAGTTTGTAAACTAATATCTTTTCTCTTCAGCATTTAAAAAAAGGTCCTTAATTTGCCCAATGCAACATGTATTTTGATTTTTTTCACTGCTATTTCCATGGATGTTGACTATACTTCCAAGTAAAATGCAATTATCGACATCTTCAACCTTTTCCCTTTCTATCATAGTAATGTTGCCTATTGGTCCAGTGGGGAGGATTTTTGTTTTCTTTATGTTGTGAAGTAATCTTTGTAGTCTTTGATTTTGTCCATATAACATTGCTTCTTAAATTATTTGCTTAGTTTACAGATTGAATAGGTATATAGAGAGAATACAACCCTGACACACTCTCTTCTTAATATTAAACCATACCAGTTGGGTCTTGGCTGAAAAGTAGAGAATACTAGAAAGATGTAGACTTGTATTTTCTTGATTATGCAAGGGCATTTGCTGGTGTGGGTCATAACAAATTATTGCTATGATTGAGAAGAATAAGAAGGACACTTAATTATGTTCATGTGTAATCTCTACATAGACCAAGAAGCTCTACATAGACCAACAGGATGAGAGAACACTGTATGGTTTAAAATCAGGAAAGGGAGGTATTACTGTTTCATTCTTTCTATTATCTATTCTATCTATTATATCACTTATTCTGTCTGTAGGGAGCACTTGTGGTAAGAAGCTGTGTTAGAATTCCAAAGCCATGAGATTCGAATCCCCCAAAAAAATTCCGTGGGAAAAAGATAGGCGATATCCATGTGATTAAATGCCTCTGAAAGTCCACTGGAGGGTCAGCTCTGAGTCTATTGCAACTTGACAACACACAATAACAACAATATTCTACTTGTATACTGGACAAATGGTTCAAAACCTGAACTATGAGAAGGAAAATGTAGCATCAAGATTGGAAGAGTTCTAATCATGCAGATGACATAACCTTGCTTGCAGAAAGTGAAGAAGACTTGAAGCACTTACTTCAAGAAATCAGAATACAGCCTTCAATGCGGGTTATATCTCAACATCAAGAAAGCAGAAATCTTCAAAACTAACCAAAAAGCAACATCATGTTGTTGTTGTTGTTATTATGTGCCGTCAAATTGCTTGCGACTCATAGTGACCCTATGTACAACAGCCCTAAACTCTCCACTGTCCTGTACCAATCGCACTGTCTCTGACACTCCCATCCCGATTATCCCAGTCACTGAATCAATCCACCTCATAGAGGGCCTTCCCCTCCTGC